GTAATGTAACAAAATATAGACCAAGAAAGAGCTGCTAGTAATAGATCTGCTTTATTTCATTGGTTATTTCTATCTACTTGTTGTTTTGTTTGTGTTGTTGACATATTTATGTACCTATGTTTACAAGCATCTCTTTATTTACATACAACACATTTTCTTCTGGAAATTGGCGCAAAAACGAGCAGGTATCATCAAACAAAATGAGCTATTGCTTCTTACAAACTTAATTTTTTTCTTCTCCATTCTAAAAGCTCTTTCGAGAACCTAAAGGTATCGAACTTTTGGGAACATGTATTAGGGATATCAACATTGAAGAAATTCTTCAAGAAAGGTGAGGAGATTTCAGTATCCGATGTCCTAAGGTAATCGTGCTTGAACAACACTATTCTATGCCCTCATGGTCATAAGCTTGCAAGCTAAACTCCACAATAGGAACAAATAAAACAAAAAATTGTGTTTGTTGTGAAAAAAAATTGGAAAATTAAGACTGCTGTGCGCTCAAATTCCCGCTGGACATCTGTCACAAACTGATGGTGGGAACGTTTTCACTTGGATCTCGGAGTACCATCACTCAAAAGTTTTTTTGGTCTATACACTTTCGGCGAAACACACCACTCCTCTACTGAATCCTACTCCATCGATCGTTTTGCGTTCTATTCTCCAAACTCCACACGCTTTGATTCGCGTCGCCTAATACGCAGCCGCGGCAAGGGAAACTTTGTTCCATACGCTCCATTGCATCCGCCCATCCTACCCGCAACCGTCCCAAAGTGGTGTTTTAGGTTTGTTCCTCTTCGGAAACTGGATTTTCTTGAGTGATTTAGCAATTATGTTGGGAAGGGGCGCAAGAATTTTCCATGCACGTTCCTTTAAGTAAGAATTTTTTATAGTGCGAGGAAATGCAAAAAAAATTGACTCTAATCTATCGGGGCTTATCGGGAAACATTCGATGCAATCGCGCACTTAGATAAGTTAATTGTCAAAATAGCAACTAGAAGTCGCCAGGAATCTCTAGCTTTCATATTCTGAGCCACTTCACACGTGCACACGATAAATAATAGATAATGATTTCACGCGCGTAAAATCAATACATGATTGTCGTGGTGTTGTAATAGGTAATAGGTAAGTGTAATAAATGAAAGCAAAACGAGGATAATTCAATTGCAAAAGCAGCGGGTTATGTTTCTGTTTGAGTTTGTTGCGTGTACGGCAACTGATTGAAGCATCACCGTTCTCAGATCCATCCCCCTTCTATCCATACACAGACCCCTGTGACACCACAATGCCTAGGTGCGAGGTCGCGCGGTGACCTCATGCGTTTTGAACCATAGGCTCGACAAGCCCCATGTTGCCACCGGTATGTATATAGAGGATTTAGTGCAATTTGTAAAAGGAAATATTTGATAATCAACGAAATTTCATGAGTGCTCCATCAATGCGACTTTTCTCTTTTGCCATCTTGCCTAGGAAATACGAATGGACATTTCCGACGAAGTCGAATTACCTAATTATCTTGCTTGATTGTACACATGACAAGTTTTTGCATTTAATTAGTGAGCCTCTATCTCGAATAATCCCGTGATTCCTGGAAACACTCATTGAACGCAGGACACGTATTATCGTTGACGCATATCGTTAGCGGCTAGAGGATTATCTCTATAGCGCTCATGATCCCGCATATTGCCAGCTAAAGGTCAATTATTCCAGGAATCTGACCATTTGGCCAGTAGGGCACCACCGCTAGTCAGATAGAGCAGGGATGTCCTGATATGTTGAAGCGGTCCTAGAGCGCGATCATTTTGATATCTGGGGTTTTGGCCACGGTCTCAGGACATCTGTCAACCGTGAGCTTGGCGGTTCAGCGTTTTGTAGTGATGTCTGGGAGCTCTCACAAGTGCACACTATCACAGCATCTCCTCTTTCTTTATCTTCTTCAAAAGGCTTAGTCCCAATAAGACACAAAGTGTGTGCTTTTCCAGCTACGCTCTCACCCTTTGGTTGACAGAAGAGCCTTACCTTTAGCCACATTCTGTTGTTGCCAGACAACTCGTCCGCATCACTCGAATACCAGAATTCAGCATTTGATGGCTCTGATAAGTTGGATCTTAAAAACCTTGTTGCATCTCAAGGATCTAAAAAGAAGCAGTCAGCTTGTGGTTGGCCTGATGCCATGGCAACGGGAACGGAATATGCTGCGCGATTCGCGAAGTCTGACATCGGCTTAAGATGCGGCAGTTACGCTTGTGCGTTTTCATGCCAATGGGATCGCGCCACATGAGCCTACTCCTGTTGCTGCAAGCGCTTTGCAATTACACTTTTCAGCGCTATAAGCTGTTCCTATTTCCGCTATAGAAAAGCACCTAGTCAACAAGTAGTGGCAGCAGTCGTGAAGCAAGCAGCGTCGGCTGTTCAGATGGTGCTGACTCTTTGGTAAATTTGCCGATTACAGTGAAAGTGTGAAAAAATCATTTTGATCAGATATTCCCATAAGGTGATCAGAACACCCCCAGAGTCGTCTCCACAGCCTTTTACTTAATCTGACGCAAGTTGTTTAGACCTATTTGAGTGGATGAAAATTACTGAATTAAAAATTCGTCACACGGAATACTAAATATAAGGGACACGCTATCAAATCCTTCTATTCGATAGATATAAAAAAAGTCGAATTGTTGGCACATACTGGCAGTTTTCACCCATATTGGCATTACGGTATGTTGAGTTCAGAAAAACCTATTAAGTATAAGTCACTTCTCACCACCATAAAGGAATCTTCCACGGAAAAAGCTCCGCCTCCATTACCACAGAAAAACGATACCTTAGGCCCCTAGCCTCATGAGCATAGCAAAAAGAACGGAACATAAGCGTTAGTTTCGATAATACTAATCCTACACACAAGACAAAATGATCACTCTTTCCGTGGAAGATTCCTTTAAGGTATCGTTTTCTGTGGTAATGAGGGCGGAGCTTTTTCCGTGGAAGATTCCTTTAAGATCTATTTGTAAAGCCAGGACCGGTTTACAGCAACCAGCAGCTAAGAAGTGCCACGCACGGTTCAGGAACTATCAGGGGTGGCGCAGCAATGCCCTGTCGGGACAGGTCTACGTCCCCGACAAATCAACCTATCCGGACGCATCCTGAACCTTAAGGGTTCCTCCGACCGGGGACAAATCCTCTAGCCTCGTCTTGAGGAATTCCTCCTTGACGGCTGAGGTGCGAAGGATCAACGGCCACGATTTAGGTTTTCTGAGGACGAAGTTGCAGTCCGAACGATGTGATCGCATCGGTCGTTCGAATAATTCGAGGAGAGGCGATGTAGCCTTGCCAGATGCTCGGCCTGACGGCGAAAAAACAAAACGCGTAAGGTGAAATAAATTAAGAAAAAATGAATTCGAAAAAGGATCGGCTGTCGCCACCCCTATTGGATGTACTTGTTCCACAAGTCAAGGTATCCCAGGAACCTATTTCTAATCAAACTTACCTTGGAGATCTATTTCAGGAAAATTTCTAGCTCAGTCGGAAATTGGTGCAGTAAGGGATGAACAAAAAACAAAAAGCGATCGTCTTCTGCAAAGCAGCTTATTTGTTTGAATTCACAGTGCTATTTCAGGAGGCGTTTCACTGGTGGAAAGGACTTGCAAACACTTTCCTCCACCAATGCGCATTCTTTACGATCAAACATTTTCCACATGTACTGAGGGCGCAGGTATTGAAGTGTGGACATTCCCACATATGCCATGCAGATGGACCCGCTCAGACGACTCGTAAGCAAACCAGCCCTTTTGGCACATTTCGGCTGGGACCGTATGCTGAATGTTGGGGAGGGGATGGGGTCCCCAACGGTCGACGGTTTACTTCAACTCGGTTGGTACGATAGGAGAGTACTGACGCAAGTGGTGCAGCTGGTCCAGTAGCTTCGCCAGAAGGACCGGTCTGCTCACCCTTGGACTAAGCCTTGGAGAGGGGACGGACCCGTCCTCTCTTTAAGGCTTAGTTCTGAGGTAAGCACCAAATTGTGGCGGTTCTAAGGACCGAGTTGAAGTGTCCGTCCACCGTCGGGGACTCCATCCCCTCCCCAACATTCAGCATACGGTCCCAGCCGAAGCGCCAAAAGGGCTGGTTTGCTTACGTCCGCCTTCAGCGAAGCACGAAACACATTCGCAGCAGCCACGCGTCCGTGGGAAATGCTTGGGCCACTGCTTAATGGAATTAGCTTAAAGCTAGTAGAAACAATTGCATGCACAAACTATGACATTATTCTTCACTCCGTGAGCTCAAGAAGGGCTAAAGGAATCAGAGTGATAGAAGTATTTGATGTTCGTTTGGCAAATATCTCTTTGGTGCGAACATTGCCTCCTACTTCTATCCAATGCCGGGTATCTTGAACAGCGATTCGGCGTATAAGATGACCAAAGAAGCCAGCGCCTGAACATTAATAAGTATGGCAGACTGCTAGAAGACTGGCGAGGGCACTTGTTCCGAATGGGAACTGAAGGCATGCCGAGCTGGCAAGCGACTCAAGGTAATTGTGAATCAGTGACACTGGTCCTACATCACTGTTTGGCGCTTGAATGGCATCTCAATAATTTTGATCGATTTTTCGTGCATATGGTTGGGGAATAACTCGTATAACATGTTCAAGTGAGGCGAGGCAAAAAGAAAGTGCAGAGTAAACGAGGAGAACGATGTGGAAAAGCTACAGGACGATTCGTACTTGCGTTGCACATAGCATCCAAATCCACTCAAGGCTAGGCTTACTTTAGCAGAACACTCATCCTGAGGACATCATCTAATTATCATCAGCCTCGTGAGCGAGAATAAAAACGTTGAGCTGATTATCGGTTAGCTTTCCCGACTGCTGGACTTGTGTTCCCCATGTGCTTCAAATACCTCTATAGAAACCTGGAAGAAAACTGGAACCGTATCAAAAGCCAGGGCATAGGTTAGGCGCTTAATCCCGCTCTCGCCTCAGATCAGTTTTGTCTGGATAGGGTCTGATATGTTGTGTTATCTTGTTTGAAATTGTTTCATGCTAGACAGGAAGTGCGCCGTTAGAGGGAAAACAAGCAGAAGGACCACGAATCCTCAGAGAGAAATTTGTCTTGGGAAGTCGACGAGTTCACCATGGTATGACGGAAGACAGAGTGTTGCGAGGAGAGGGAAGACACGAGCAAGTTATATGCGAGAGCGCAGGCGCTGCACATGCTGCGATTGATAAAAATTGCAGCGATCGCAGCGGTCAAGCGAAAGCAACAGCTATCTTGTCGTCAACTTTGAATCGCGGCTTTATCAACAACCTTGTGATTAGGGACCCTACTATCTTACTCAAGGGCGGAAATTTTCTAAGCATCTGACAGCGATCCGCGCCTTTAGGGCCAGCCCATCGACTCCTTCATTAATGTTATGTCAACTCGCTCTCGCTTCTCGAAATTATGCTCTATTTTATTTGCCGGAGCGAGGGAGGAGGACTGCCACAATTGCAGACTCAGAAGCCCAACGGGGATAAGAAAGAACAAGAAATTCATGGGAGCTTCTGGACATGGTAAACCACGTGATGCCACTTTAATATGTACGCTCTATTTCAGAAACGAGAAGAGCGTCGAGTGCAGACCACACATCACAAGTGACGACAGCCACTTCTTCTTTTGGCTTTATTCTTGGCCGTCGTCACTTGTGGTGTGTGGTCTGCACTCGACGCTCTTCTCGTTTCCGAAATAGATCATGCTATGACCGCAATTGCGGCAATTCCGCCATCCCCACTCCTTTTCCTTTCTTTGAGCGAAATACAGTCACGGGGCTGTTTTCAACCAACGAGTGGTAGTCCAGCCAAAAAGCACATGTTTTGTTCTTTTTAGGACTAAGCCTTTTGAAGGAAGGAAAGAAAGCAGAGATGCTGTAATAGTGTGCATGTGCGAGAGTGCCCAGAGAACACTACAAAACACTGAATCACCAAATCTCCCGGTTGACTACTGCCCTTTGACGCACAAGACGGAGTGCAGCTCAGGAATGAATGAGCTGGCAGCAGTCATTTTTGAAGTTGAACCTCATCAATTTCCTCGGACATGCAATTGTATACTTCAGAAATAACAATGAAGTAGTGAAAGAACAAAATTAGCAGAGAAAATCGTGGTAGCAAAAATCATAAAATCAACATCATAAAATCGTATAAATGGACATTTTTGGGGGACTATAGTCAGTTAAGGGGGGGGGCATAGCGTTTAGAAAAGCCCGATGCGCCCGCGTTTCGAATAACCAGGATATCGTATTCTCTTATTTGTTAAGGTTAGGGATTACCCCTAGTGAAAGATGGGGTACAGGCCTCGGTTTGTAAGCAATCTCCGTTTTCTTTCCGGGATACTTTTCCCCTCTTTCGAGGCTTATTCTCAGTGCTAGCAGCTCAATGGATAAATATGTATTAATTTCCCACAGACGTTTATGTTATGAAACACAAGAACAATAAATTATATAAAAATGAGAAGAAACAACGTAGGAATAAAGCTGATAGCAGTTTGTAACTTTAAAGGACCCTTTGAGAGAAACTGGCATCAGAGCAGACAGTGCCTGCCCCCCCTAACTGGAATAGACCCTTTTTGGTTTCGAAGGAATTTCAAAATAGATACCTTTTCCCCAGATGAGTAATTTCTCGTCCAACACGTACTGATCGTCTTTGATCGTCGCGATTCACCGGATTTCACGACTTTCAATGTGGCATGAACTTTTCCCCGAAGCAGAACACGAATCCCTGAAATTGAGCCGCGATCGAATCCTTGCTAAGGACATTCAGCGGCGAAAGGAAACGATTAGAAGCATGAATAGACGCCGAAATGAGCCTCTTACAAGCTATATGGATGAGCAAAAAATCTCCGACCAACTGACCTTTGATCTTGATATTCTCGGTGTTCTCAAGCAGAACACTTCCATTGATTCGTTCACCGGCATAGAAAATTTCTTTAGCGAGACGGATGTCGAAACTTGAAATGTAGTCCATCTAGGAAGGTTAGCGAACCCTTCACGGGTATGGGTAACCCTGAAAATAGACCAACTGATTTCTGATATGTTTTTTTTTTTCGCAATCGATAGAGAACGTCGTAGTTTTCCGAAAAAAGGTCTACATCATAATATAGAGAAGCTTGCACTGTGAACATTTGGGGAATACTTTGTGAAGGAAAACGAGGACGTCGGAAGTGATGCCATTGTGGCAATCATCTGAGAGAAAGAGACTCTTTCTAAGAGTTGTTAGAGCTGATTTATGAGCGCATGACCGAGTCTGGACGTCTTAAGGCTTCAAAGAGCAGCGGCTGCTAGCTTAAGATGGCGCTGCTGCAAAAATGGATACGATTTTGAGCAATATTAGAGACTGCGCTGACGGCTGCCGATGGCGATTGGGTTGCTCGGGCTTGGTGAAATGTCCGATTGAGTACAAGTGCAAAGTTGGTTGAAGCACTTCTGAGGTGAAATAGACGCGATTGGAGAATGTCAATAGTCCGAAAGGAATGCGCGAGTAATTAATGTCTCTCGGGGCGACTCCGCCTTCCCTTCGCACAGCGCCTGGAGGCGAGAAAATCGAGTCACCCCCGTTTGGTGATGTTTACCCGACATGAAGTCCGATGTCCACGAAACTCGACCTGATTGGCGGATCCGACATTTGCAGCGAGGCGCGGAATCGGCCAAAAGTGGTAGAATGATGGTATGAACAAAGCAAAGCTACAGCCTGGGTATTTTGAAGAGGCATCGAAGTTCGCGTTGCCAAACTGAGTTTTGTAATCGTAAAAATGTCCATAAAAGGCAGAAACCAACTAGCTTGGATGATGGATAGCATTGGATCCTCAACTCAATAGAGATATGTCAGTCATGGCCGACTCTCAGGAGAGGGTTCTAAAACATGCCAGCGCTCGACAACGAGAGAGCGAGAGAGGGAGGGCAAGGGACATCCCTAAGCGGGTTGATGAGAAGGGCTCAGTCAGCTCATAATGGTAAGTCGGGCGGCGGGCGTGAGCCAATTTCATAATGATTCAGAGGTTTCGTCGTTGTGGTTGTCGACGAGTGACGGCGAAGGTATAGTGGTTCTATCGATTCTAAGCCGCTTCCGTCGGAATTGCCTGCTACCGCAGCATAGCCATCAGGTGGGCCAGACGAGACCAGTTCACCTCACTTTGACGGAGAATATTAAGCTCGGCTCACTGCTCAACCCAAAGCGCTGATTTTCTCTTTGCTGCCTAAGCTCAAAGAATACTTGATACCCCGCCAATCAGATCTCAGAACTTCTCAAGACTTTCCAGGATTCGCTAGGTCCCGATCGGTGCAACATTCCCTTCCCCAGGTGAGTACTTCAAAGACCTGATGACTTTGGCCAGTGATCAAGAAAGATCAGAAAAAAACAAATATCAAAGAGAATGATGCAATGCTGAGGCGCACCCATGGATCAGACCTGGTTTATATCTTGCGCGGGCCAACCGCCGTGCCCTAACCCTCTTATTGATTTTCCGGCGAATTTATTCCATTTACTGAAAAAAAACGCGCGAAAATGGAGTTGGGGGGACCATTGTGCTCTGCGTCTGTAGCGCAGTTATTTTCCCAGCTCTAAGGATAAGAATTTCAGTAGCATGCTCACTTGAAGCAACTTAAAACTTTCATATCGTAAGAGGGGGGACACTGAAGTAAGTGAGCCACTCATAGAATCTGGAATTGAGCTTTGGGGATAGGATGAGATCCCGTGGAAGGACGTGAGCAACCGTTGATTCCCTAGTGTTTTTTCCGCTTTTCTGACTTAGTCTAGCGTCACTAACTCAGCTGTTTTCGCTCAGCTTATGACAAACTGTACTATCTCTGCAGTCAATGTCACTGCTTACTTACGCGGTGTGTTGTTACACTCTTCGAAGCTTCTACTCTCCAGTGCCCTACGACCCCTATGGTTTACATAGACAGAGCTTCCGGTTTGGCTTAGGCACGCATTTGTTTCCATCAAACCTCCTGCCTCAATGATGAGCCCCCGGGGCTGAGGAAATAACGGGTTCCTCTGAGTTTGGAAAAAAAACCCAACAACCTTATATATTTTATTACACAGATATTTTCAAAATTGTTCATTTTTTTTTTGTTCTTGTTATTTTTCTTATAAGGAACTAGATTGATAAGCCGGTCGTTATCAGAAAGTTACTTCGGAAAAAAAGTGTATCAAAGTTCTCGTTCAGTTATTATCGTCGATCTTATCCTGTTCTTAAGGGCCGCGTTCATAGTTCGCGACTCCGGAGATTAGGATAGTACGCGACAATGAAAAACATATGTATTGACGGGGAGATTAGGATAGTAGTAGAGTAGGAGATTGCGCTGACAAGATTAGATACGTATCGATTGAAATCGCTGGAGAGTAGTAGATTGCGATATTACGATAGTAGGATAGTAGTAGAGTAGGAGATTAGGATAGTAGTAGATTAGGATAGTGCGCTGACAAGATTAGATATGTATTGATCTATTCGCTTGAAGTCGCCCAATCTACTACTCTCCAGCGATTTCAATCGATACGTATCCAATCTTGTCAGCGCAATCTCCTACTCTACTACTATCCTAATATCCTGTCGCCTACTATCCTAGGGCGGTATTCAATCCCTTCCCCAGGGGTTGGGGGACGGAAATCCCTTTAAATTTATTTGTTTTTAACGATGTAGTTTCTTCATTTTCAATGCATGCTTACTGTGACATACATACATACATTAAACCTAGGCCCTTTATCAGGACAATCCCAGTTGGGAAGACAGAGAAAATTTAAAGGGATTTTCGTCCCCCAACCCCTGGGGGAAGGATTGAATACCGCCCCAATTCCGCGAGTCGCGAACTAGAACGCAGCTAACGTTTGAGGACGGCGAGTACAATCGAGTGGCCCTCCACTTCGTTTCATCCAAAAAATGCTATTTGCATGATATTCGCACTGGATAACTCGCTAGTCTAAGGTCAATTCACAAATGCAAGAACATGGCTGCAATAGGCCTTCACCGGGAGGTCAGGTGCATGGCTCGTCCAGGAAAAAACGAGAAATTCAGAGGATTTATAGTTAAGTGAAAAGTGGGATTTGAGATCTTAGAGCAAAGTTGATCCAGGAGAAATTAAGATTTCTCACGACATGCGGAGCACCGGATACGTTCCAGCGTTGCCATAGCGACGACGTCCAGCTCCGGCTGATTACCAAACCTATATCACCTGCTCAACACACCTTTCCAACTCTTACATAAAATTCCAGTAAGTCAAAACAAAGAAAAAGTGAAGCGGAAGGGAAGATCAGAAACGAGTCAGAAATGTGGGCCATAAGAAGACGAGGAATTAGCGATCGAGAAGGATGATGAATGGTTGGAGGTGACACCTAAGGCCAGTTAAGACCTCATAAAACACGCCATTCAAACAATGACTATGTGCCATTGCTACAATACTGAAGGACTATAAGCTAAAGCGGAGCAGCTCACTCATTTCAGTACGCCACTTTTGCACCTTGATGACAAATCTTACCATTAGTGGTTATTTCGTTAAGGCTTACGTCAGGCGCCCGAGGCGTTTGGGCATAACTGCCATTCCTGCATAGCCAGTGTTTTTTATGCAGTCATAGGAAAGAATGTGATTGGAAAATTGCCTCGTTTAACTGATTCTAGATTAGCATCCAACGCATGGAGAGCAACCACTTCGGGAGATATTGAACACTATGGATTATAAATAGGATAATATTAGAGTAGGCCACCGAAGTAATCACACAATTTCTTCGATAACACTGAAGAGGGAGAGTTTTTCTGGAAAGTCGTGAGGCAGGACCGGATTTTCTCAGGACACAAAATGAGGTATTGGCGGTTTATGCTCGCTTTCCCCTTTCGAGCCAATTTGTCGTTTTTTGACTTCTACCCTTTCGAGCCAATTTTGTCCGTTTTGTTGACTCTACCCCTATGTGCACTTGGAATAGCGCCCATGGGTATAATCGAGCAACATGAAGGAGTGATATATGTTTCAATACGAAGGACGGGCCGCAAAAAGCTGAAACTTTCGGGAAGGATGTCACAGTCATGTGAGCCCCAGTTGTCGTGGATCACGTGCTTCTTTGAAAGATCCAGAACGTCTTCCAATTTCTCGGAGTCGGCTAATTGGCAGTAATTTTCTCTAGTAGAGCTGGGTCCCAGCTGACCCTACGCTCACGCAGGTCACCGCAGTGGAGGAATACGTGCTACAAATCCTTCGGGAATACGAATAGAAGTAGAGCAGGCCGTGTATTTCGAGAGAATTCTATGGCTAGCGTGGAAAGACTCCGGAGCTCTCGGTTCCGGCTTATTAAGTATTGGCTTGCGGCCTTCATTAGATTCTAAGTATAATAGGCATAAATAAATTGCAGACCGTGAGAATTACTACTGACGCATAAGTCTGAGTTTGTTTATTTGTTTATTTACCAACCAAATGCACCTGAATAGAGCGCAAGGACAGCAGTCACGAAAGAATAGCCATATGCAAACAATAGCCAGCCAGAAAGATAAAAGTCATATCCAAAAATATTCACTAATAAATAAGCATCTGCTAAAATATTAATGCTTACGGGATACGGGAGGGATAAGAGGTGGTCCCTCCCTAAATGAGAAAGAGGGATCTCCAAGCACGAGAGCTGCGACGCTTTCACGACTCAAAACTTCACGGCGAGGGCGCTGACAATATGACCTTGCCTTGTGCTGCTCGCGACACCGCTCTACAATCGCGACATACGTGGCGTCTGTGCCCTCCTGTAAACAATGTACTCTTCGTTCTCTTTACTTTTTCTCCCCATTAACGTTCTTCATTTCATTTTTGCCAGATTTCCGAACAAAATAACAAGCCACTTTTATAACGACCCGTGCCTTTAAATCCGAAACAAGTAGGTGTCACGAAGGTTGCCAAGTTCTTCATGGTTCATCATAGTGCTCCGAAATGAATAAGAATGTAGACTAAGAAGTAGTCGTTAATACGGGTCCAAAAATAATGGACTGTTATTTAAAAGATGCAGCTTTAGAGCTGAGTTCAGCAAACACCATCAAGTGTTATCAAATTTTCTGTTCTTACAACCAGACAGTTATGTAATACTTTTTTCATGCTGTTCAATTGATATACTGAATAAGGTGCGCTCGAAACGCGCTTGGACCGCAGGCTTGGCCCCAATGACATCGCTCAAAAGTTATAGTGGTAATCATGAATTAGTGCCATTGATAGCGCTCGAAAGGGCACAACAAGAGCGCCAAGAACTCGCCAATGCTCTTGACCGGTCGTGGCCACTTATCTTAGAGGAAGCCGAAACGGAGCTCTTCCTCTGTGCCCATCTCTACTCTGCACGTCCGTCTGTCTTCTCTGCATCGCTCTGAACTGGGTAAAGACTTTTTCTAATGATCTGCATACCGGGGTGAAGGACTTTGGTTCAAGATTCACACCTCGGCCCACTTCACACCTCTGCCTCGCATCTCGGCAGGCTTGCCAGTGGCATACCCTCGCTTAATTGGTTGCGATGCCATCGTGACCTTGCGTTAACGATGTTAAGCACTGGAGTCTACCGTTTCTATTCACACAATAGCAAAAAGAGTGAAAGTTCCTCACTGAAAGATATATAACTGAACAAAAAGCGAAGCGGTGTTTAAATATGCATCAAGGTTTTATGTTTGAAGAACTGTGATCTGTTCTTTGTAGAAAATCTTTGCGGCAATAACCCGTCTTGTTAGTGATATGCCTTGAATTGGCTGCCTGCAAGCAGGCTAATTCAAAGAAAGTAGCCTCAAGCATTTCTGATGACCTTAGTGTCCCTTTTATCATCCCCACAAGTGATAAAAAGGTCAATTCGGCAACTATTAATACAGATTCGTTTGCGACGACACACAACACTTCCCGTTTGTGTTTGCTACTCACTCAATTCAGTATGTTTCAGGCGTTTCCTCCGGAGAGCTTCTACCAGGACTCTTCCGCTAGCACCAACTTAACTGGTTATGCCGATGTTTCTTGCCCTACCCAGCCACCATCCCTCTCATTTTATACTTGCTCTGCTCCAATTGACACTTCTTCCTACACTGTCACTCAGTTTTGTACAAATCCGTTGTACGTGGACTTCATTCCTATACAATACCCTCAAAACACAACTATGCATGTGCCTGAACCTTCGTTCTACGTAAGCTCCTTGCCCCAAAGCTCTCACCACACCAACTTGCAACCACTCACTGCATCACACTATCAAACCCCTCTGCCTTTTTTTGCAGGTTGTAATCCAGCTCAAATTACACACTTCAGTACCATGGAACCGGCTACTACTTTCAGTTCACTGGATCTTGGATCAATTTCGGCTCAGCACATCGCCAACACAACAACTGCTTCCATTTCATCTCCTGCACCTTTAACCCTTCCACTCGTGCAACCTCTACAAATTGATCCACAATCTACATCCACTGTTACCCCATGTTCCCCACCCTTGAACTCCCCTCACTCAGTTTCTGCACAGGATCCTGTGCTCCTTGGTTCTACCTTTCCAGGTTCACCTCGTGCGTCGTCTCCTTCGCATGATCCAGAGAATGCAGACGAACAAGTGTTTCTTGGAGAAAGACAGGTAAGCAAAGCAGGAAAATTCAACGTAATAATTTACAGAATTCCAGGAACTACGCGGTCGTTCACCTTTTTTCGAGTGTACAAGACCAAAAACCACGAAGTTTATCGCTGCTATCATTGCCGGAAGGAGCGCAGAAGACGAGGACTACGAAGAGCAGGAAGAGAACATCAAGGTAGATGCCTGAAAGTATGAGCATACCTTTGTGCTCAGAGATTTGTTTAGGTCGTTGGAAACGTGTTTTTGAGTGATCCGTGCAGGATGAGCCATGAATGTGAAGCAGGGAAATATACGGAAGAAAGAGGGAATAGGCATGTTTATAAGGTGCGTCATAATATCTGCGATGGATACGTGATTAATGATTTTGTCTCAGGAACTACAAAAGGTTAGAAGTGATCGAACATTTGCCGAAAAGAAGCCACTGCAGATATATCTTGACATGGTGACAGCAACGCTTGATGCAGACGATGGTGAGGAAGTTCATTTTCCCTTTTACTTTCATCAGATAGTATCATCTTCTTACAGAAGAGATGGAGGACAGCATCAGAGCCGCAGTGCGTAGATCTGGATATCAAGCTCGAAGACGAGTTATAGCCAGGTTTACAACTTTAGCAGTTTTATTTGTCACCACGGCTCAATTTGTATTTCAGAAGTGTGGGTGTGTGGGTGAACAGATCAGTTAACATGGAATGTGTGCCACCGGAATTTCGAACTCTCAGCGACGGCTCCCTCTTTTTACACCACCAGGAACCCGGGTTTCACATTTATTACTCCGTGGCGACAATCCAGGTAGTGATTAATGCCCTTATGAAGGACTATTTAGGAGTACTGTCTGCTTTTTCAGAGGGCTTGCGAGAACGGCCTCCACAGCATAGTTGCGGATGGGATGCATTCACTGCATCCCAAATCTCTAGGGTACCACGCGCAACTTTACTGCGTGCACGGTGTGTGTGCTAGGGGAGTAGAAATTCCTTTACTTTATTGTATAACTGCAAAAAAGACGGAGCGGGTCTACATGAGAATTTTTCAGGAGCTCAGAGGAAACGTGAGTGCTGATGTCCCAAAGAGAATAGTGTTGGATTTCGAGAAAGCTGCAATAAACGCCGCACGGAAGACTTTCCCAAGAGCATCGGTGGAGGGCTGCGCATTTCACCTCGCGCAAGCATGGAACCGGAAGAGAGACGCACTTGCACTGAGAAGGTACACTCAAGGACCCGAAAGAGACGAAAGGATTGTAGAATGGTGGAATACATTGAAAGGTGCGCTACGCATTTCTTTCTTATGATTCGAAATATTATTACACCACTATTACAGGGATAGTGTTTCTTCCGTTGGCACTATTACCTCAAGTTAGGGCTTTAAGAGCCCCGCCCGTCCCAGAAGAACATGCTGCGTACACAAAATGCGAAGAATTTCTAGCGTATTTGCAAGCGAACTGGATGAGTGGCCCATTCAAAGAAATGTGGTGTAAATGGAAGCTTGAAGAGCTGCGCACAACAAATTTAGCAGAGGCTTTCCATAGGTAATCGTTTAGTCAACAAGCATAAAGGTGTATTTTAAAAAAAAATTTCCAGGCGACTGGGACTCCTTATAAACGTGGACCATCCCCCCCTTAGTGTGCTTATAGACGCTCTCCGTAAGTTGAACTGCGAAGCACGGGCAGCCCTTAAACGCCTACAAGAGGTGAGCTTTTGAACATGACTGGTCTGCATCATGTTTTCAAACTTTGCCTTTGCAGGATCCGGAGAATGCGAGGAACGCTGCAAAAACGAGATGAAAATAGGAGAGCAAAGATAGCAGAAGAGATGAGAAAGTGTGTTTGCCCTCATGTTGTCTTCTATACTCAAGTCCGCAATTACTTATTTTGATTTTAGCTTCGAAATGATCTACCAGGATGGAGCGACTCAAGGACAAATAGAAGAATACTGCATGAAAATGTCAAGATTTGTAACTAATACGGCCATATAAGTTTTGAACTTTCTAATAATCTGCATTGTAATGTTTATTTGCTTATTTGTATTTATAATTCATGTTGCAATGATCTTGTAATAATTATCAGTTCTTGTTCTAATAAAGTTCAACAGTTATTTTGCTGTAATTAACATCGTTAACGCAAGGTCACGATGGCATCGCAACCAATTAGGCGAGGGCATGCCAGTGGCAAGCCTGCCGAGATGCGAGGCAGAGGTGTGAAGTGTGGCCGAGGTGTGAATCTTGAACCAAAGTCACAGACCCAATCTTACCGTAATCACTCGCTTTAACAGGTTGACGACAGCGTGACGTGGTTGTGCGTCTCACCCTAGCCATCCTTTTTCCAACGCTTGCAAGACTTCTTTCTATGTTGCTGCCTCACTTTGTAGACCATACAGAAACATACCTAAAATGGTGCAATTCATGAAATGGTTGGATATACCTCAGTTTAGCAAATTTTCTCTGAACATTACGTACTTCTCAGTTCTCTTTAAACTTCGACTTTAACTCTCGAATAGGCAGGCGAAATGGTAAGATGAAAGTGTAAAAACAATCGATTACAAGATACGGTC